TGCATTTTGATGATACTATTTTCCATCTCTGTTTTATTCAGGCTGACATAGATGCTGTTCAGAGCTGTTCGTTTTGTATCAGCAAAGATGCCTTTACCCTATAGCCATCGCTGCTGCATGCATCATTAGTACAGCATGTAGTGATTTTAATCTTATTTCTAAACCGCCTTCACCTTGTGCCATTATTTTAATTTAGGACCAACTGTTCAGCCATATGGAGCAGTTTGTCATTCAACACCTGTATGCTCTTACAAAATATGAATTTGTCTGTGTGCTTTATGCCTTCAAATGTGCTATATTTCGTATGGAAAAGACAAATCTTTTCATTTTATTTATGTTGTCATTGACTGAATCTCCTATTTATTTTTTCCCTTGGAGAGCTTAATGTTGGATTGGGATGCTTTTAAAAGTCATAATGTAAGGAAATGGATACCTATATTCTATAAGTTAGCCTCACTTAAGCCCACAGATAAACACGAGGGCATCTTGCTGATCATTTATTTTTGTGTTTCACAAATTATTCATCTTCCACCCAATTTCTTCAATCCCCAAAGCACCAGAAATCCAAAAAAGCATCACAAGTAGAACTGGCACTAATTTATCTCATTCCAGTCTGATTTCTTGCCTATCTGATCTGTGCTTTCTTAAAATTAATAAGTGAGAGTTTTGCTAAAAGTACAGTCATTGCTTCCCCATCTGTATAGCCTTCTAAACAAACTATTCCATACTCCATAGCCATAAAGGAGGGGGTGCCTAGGCAACCTTGTTTGTACACAGTGATCCCACCCTCCTTCAAAATACCATTGGACTAGAGATGAATCTGAATCTAAGAAGAGATAATGGGGTTCTCTTCTAGGCTTTTGCTACTGGCATCTGGAAAAACTAAATTGTGAGGCAGTGCTGGATGTGGTTAAGAGGGTAGGTCTGGATACAATGAGTTGGGTAATGTTGGGCAAGTTGCTTATCTGCTTTGTGCCTAAGTTTTCTCCTCCATAAAATGGGGATCCAAAATGTTTTCACAACCAAAAAAATTTTCATAACCGCTAAGCAGCAAAACCTAACCCACCTGAATTCATTTGGTGACAATGACCTGACAAGAAGTTATGTATTTATTTTGTCTATCTCTTGGTTTGAATATTTACATTTTTTTCCTGCAGAAATAATAATATGTATGATTATGGAATCTAGGCTTGAGATTTTTGGAAAGGGACTGTGGACCAATAGTATCTACCTCATGTTTTTGTTTTGAGGATTAAATGAGTTAATATATGTTAAAGTGCTTGGAACAGTGCTTGGCACATGGTAAGTTCTCTCAATGATTTTTACCTTGTCTACATAGGTGTTACTTTCTTGCAAGGAATGACTCACTAAGACAGGAACCTACTAAATGATAGACGTTGTCTTAAGCCTTGGGGATCTGGTAACTTTATTACCAAGATGGGCACAATTTCCTCCCTTTATATGTATAACACTCTCCATTAATTAAACAGGAAATTAAAATAAAATAGGATGATTGCTAATAAAGGAAGAACTGGGCATTAAGATATCAAACAATAGTTCAGTGACAGGTAAAGTTTCCCTTGGAAGTGGCATTTAAAGTGAAACATAGAAGTTTATCAGATGAAGAGATAGGAGAAGACTGTTTCAGGCAGAGGAAAGAGCTTATGTGAAGACTCAGAGGAGAGTTGAAGGATTTGGGTTCCTGTTCCCTCAGTTTGTGTTGTTCAATGTCCTCCAATTAGGGGTGGGTCTCCCAGGACCAAAGCTTGCCTTCTTGGAGAGGCTCCTTGAAAACTGAAAGCAAAGAGAAGCAAAGAGGAATGTGCATTCCCAGTAGTTTGCTCTGGACAGGAAGGAGAATGTGCCTAGTTTGCCCAGACCATGCCAGTCTCACCAATCTGGAAAATTGCTTCTTAGATAGGGGTGCCTGATGGAGTACCATGATGCCTGCAGATTTTTCCACCTCCATATTGAAGAAAACATTAGGAATGGAGCAGAAGCATTCCCCATCCCTAACTCCCTGGTTCCATTCTGAAGTTGCTGCTTTTAGTCATGTATGGGCTAGAATATGGTACTGTCATGCTATTAAAATTCCCTCTAAATTAAGAAGAAAATATATGCAGAGTAGTGGTCAAAATAATCTAAGTAATGTACCTAGCACAGTGTTTGGCATAGAGCAGGCAGATGATACATGTTAGTTGCCCTTGAAGTGTATTTAAAAAGAAATGAATGAATACTCCATGATCTCAAATCCTTTATCATTTTAAAGTTGAATAATCATTTTATAATATAATGTAAATACTGATGAACTTAAGGTAATGTTAAAATTGTCAGTATCAATAACACTTTTCAATTTCAGTTATTTTATATAACTCATATTTATCCTTGAGACTAATATATGGGTTATCTTGGCTACTTTCTTATTCTTTCCTTTCTGCATTATGACTTTTGGCCTATTATTACTTACTAATATATTGACAGAAAGTAGAAAGGAAAATTGAGAAGAAAGATGATTTAAATTTCTCATTTACAGCTAGTGTTGATTCTTATATCACATAGTCATGAGCGCACTGCTTTCTACACTAAAAAATATAAAGAGTTAAACTAATAGCTTAAATTAAAATTGTAAAAAATAAATGCAGGAATTAATGCCTTGATACTCACATTTCAGTATTATTGTGAAAGGTTTTAAGATATTCCTCTTTATAATGAAGCATTTGTTACCTGTAATAATGAGCCTTTCCATGAGTTTTTCACACACAACTTTATTACAGATTGCATTTTCCCTCCTCATCCTCTGCCCCTTCCCCTAGGACACACCCTGACCTACAGTAGGATTTGTATTACTGCCCCCATCACAGTGCAGGAAGCTGGAACAGGAAGGGAAGGAATGCTGCTGCTCACGCATTTCCCTGTGAGAAGCTGTAGTTCCTAGTCTTCTATAAATATCACCTTGAAAACTTTTTACTAAATTTATTTTTAAACAAATGTTTATTCTAAATTTGCCTTGATCAGAGATAACTAACATCATTTCTTTAAATATTGCTGTTTAAAAGAGAAACAAATCATTCTTTCATCTGCTTCCAATTCTTCATGTTTGTGTCTGTTGAGAGAAATGTCTTTATTTAGTCTTTATGTTTGAAAGTCTTTTTCCCTTTTCATCTTTCACTTTCATTTTTATAGGCAGTTGCCATAATTATAGCTAGATAAAAAGTGAAAAATCCACTTTGATGAATGGAGATCAGAATATTAGTATTTGATATTTTATTTTTCTTTGTTTTGTTTTGTTTTTTTACAAAAGAATTTTATTGGAAAAACCTACATTGCATAAGTATCAAGTATATGTGAATTAGACAAAAGAGTTTTTTGGGGTTTACAAATTTTTTAGGACCTCTAGGATTTCAGTGGTCCAGATTAATCATAGTCCTTATTTCACGATACTCTTTCATGATTGGTTTGTGCATGGCCTGCTTTTATTTAGTGTTATTTAGTGTTTTGAAGTTTACTATACCACCTGTGAACCCAACACCCAAATCAAAAGCTAGATTCTTGGAAATAACGTATATAACCAAATGATTCCCTTCCATCCCCCTGGCTCCCCATTTCCCCGGTAGCTATATTCTTGAACTCAGTGTTCACTCCTGTCTCTTATACACATCTAGATGTGTATAAGAGACAGGGCTTGAGCCACCGCGCCCGGCCTCTAGTACATTTTTTACCTTACCATTTATTATGAAGATGTTCTGTCTTGTGTGTCATATTTGATTCATTTTGACTACTGTATTAATACTGTGTAATAGTCCAGAGGGGGTGAGTATCCACTGTTCATTTATTCACTCTCTTATTGTTGAAGAGTTTGATTGTTTCTAGGTGTTTACAATTGTTAACAGCTGCTATGAACGTTCTTGTACAGGCCACCTCCTATTTTTACCTGTGAGAGATTATTTCAGAAGTAAAACTGCTGAGCCATAGGGATATTAATTTTCAACTTTAGGAGATAATGCCAGACCGTTTTCCAATTTGTGCACCGATCTGTACTCACACTAGCAATGTCTAAGAGACCCGGCAGATTCCATATCCTCTCTAGCACTTGATATCATCAGACTTTTAATTTTTGTCAACTACGTGGATATCTTATTATAACTTTAATTTTTGTTCTTTATGTTTATTGGGCATATTTATTTCCTCTTTTCTGAAATGCCTGTTTGTAATGTTTTGTCCTTTTTTTTCTATTAAAAATTTTGGTAAACATTCTTTATATGTTCCTGATACTAATCTTTTTTTGGATATATATTATTTGAATATATTTTTGCAGTTTGTAAGTTTGTCTTTTATTTTCTTTAAGGTGTATTTAATGACCAGAAGTTCTTAATTTTTATATAATCAAAATCTATTAATCTTTTATGGTCCATATCTTTTTGTGACTTAAGTAGTATTTTTCTAGCCCATGGTTCAATAAATACTCTCCTATACTTTCCACTGAGATATAGAATAGTTTATTTTTATTAACATGTAAGACCTTAGCCCCTCTAGAGTTGATTCTTTTTAATGAGGGATTCAGCTTTATCTTTTCTTCATCTAATCCATAAAGATTATAATTTCAAAATCTCTATCCACTGATCTGAGTTATTGCCTCTGTCATATACTGAAGTTTCATAAATGCATGGGCCTACTTCTAGACTTTTTGTTCTATACTATTGTTCAGTGTGTGTGTGTGTGTTCCTCTTTGAATTTTATTTTTATTTATTTTACTTTTCATCATGGCTTACTGCATCCTTGACCACTTGAGCTCAAGCAGTCTTCCCATCTTAGCCCCCCCAGGTAGCTGGGACTGCAGATGTGGGTCATAATGCCAGACTAATTTTTAAAAAACTTTTGTAGAGACAGGTTCTCACTATATTGCCCAGGCTGGTCTGGAACTCCTGGGCTCAAGCCATATCTTTGAATTTTAGACACAGATATACATTCCTAGATCATAAGTACTTTGGTTTTTCCACTAGGTTTTGGACATAGTGAAAACAAGCATTCGTACGGTTCTTCCACGCATCTGGAAGGTGCCTGATGTCGAAGAAGTAAATTTATATCGGATTTTCAACCGGGTTTTTAATCGCTTACTCTGGAGTCATGGCCAAGGGCTGTGGAACTGTTTCTGTGATTCAGGGTAAGTTCTCAGTCATCTTTTATTATCATCATTTTTAATATTTTACTATTTAGTTATAGAGGTAGCCTAATAAAATGCTTGAATGATCTTTTAAAATATGGATTTCTTTTACTGCATGTAATGTTGTAATGTTTAGTACTCAACTATAATTTATATCAATTAAGGTGATTTAGATAAGATGATGAATATGAACACAACACCACCTAATTAATTTGAATTCAGTGGAGAGAAGGTAGTCCTAATTAAAGAAAATACAAAGCAATATCCTTAAAGTTCTTCTGCAGTCACCTTCTAAAATTATGGCTAGACTTCTCCTCCTCCCCAGAATCCCAGTGCTGCTAAAGCTGCTGTGACTCATTGTCATTTTAGCCTCAAGATATCTAAAACCAAACATTCCACGTGCTTTTATTCCGAAATGGCTTCCTTTCTTGGCTTCCCTTAATCCTGTTGTTATTCTCTCAGTCATACAAGTTGGATATCACAGGGGCACCTGCATCTTCCTTTTCCCTCACTGTCTTTATTTAATCATTTGCTAAATCCTATTGTTTTTCTGTCACATTCCCACATGGCTAAACTAGCTTGTTTCCATTCATTCTTTCAACAATCATCAAGTACTTACTTTTGTGCTAATATTTTTGGAGATACAGTGTTGAATCTGACACAGATAATAACTAACCATACTACTTATTGTGTGAGATGCATTATTCTAATCACTTTACATGTGTTAAGTGATTTAATCCTCGTAACATCAATTTGAGTCAGGTTTTATATTATCTCTGTTTTATAGATAAGGAAACTGAGGCACAGATAGGTGCTAAGGACCTAGTGGAACTGGGATTTGAACTCATTTAGCCTTGACCCCAGAGTTCATGCTCTTAACCTATAAACTCTGATATCTCTAGCAGATAAAGTATGATACATACAAAGCGAATCATTTGATATTGTTTGTCTGCGTCCCCACCCAAATCTCAGCTTGAAGTGTAGTTCCCATAATCCCCACGTGTCATGGGAGGGACCTGGTGGGAGGTAATTGAATCATGGGGTGGTTACCCCCATGGTGTTGTTCTCTTGATAGTGAGTGAATTCTCATGGATCTGATGATTTTATAAGGGGCTTTTCCCCCTTTTACTTGGCACTTCTCCTTGTTGCCACCATGTGAAGAAGGACATGTTTGCTTCCCCTTCTGCCATGATTGTAAGTTTCTTGAGGCTTCCCCAGCCATGCTGAACTATGAGTCAATTAAACCTCTTTCCTTTGTAAATTACTGAGTCTTGGGTATGTCTTTTTTAGCAGTGTGAGAATGGACTAAATCATCATTATAAAAGAGATACAGATAAAGTATGACAGGATTTTAGACAAAATGAGCCTGTTTTTGGTAAGACAGCTAAGTGAAATGAATAGATTTCTAGGCATTTTTGTTTCCAGTTTTTTGTTTCTCATATCCATCTTACTGTCAGAATCATACCCTAAAATCTGTAGTGATTTTCCTCCTTTATAATTTAAGTTTAAACTTCTTATCTACAGATACAAGGCTATCTAATATGCTGTTTTCTCTTATTTCCCCAGTCTTCCTTCTCATTACTCTCCTATTTGAATTCTGCTCCAGAAAAAACAAATTCATTTTTTTCAGATTTCTTAAAAATTTGTCTTTTTTTTCCTCTGAACTGTTGATGTCATTTAATATCTGATTGGATGGCTTTCTATAACCCCAACCTTCTGGTACCTTCTGTATTATTTGAATCGAATGTAAAGCCCCATTCTATACCTGCCTCTTCTGTAAAACCTTAACAGACTGTTCTATTCTGAAATGATCTCAGAATATTCTCCATTTAAATATTCTAGTCATGTGATACAGAATCATTCATATCATTTGGAGACTCAGTCTTTCTACCATTTTTTTTTTTTTAGCTGCCATTCACCAACAGGGAGAATTAATAAGGCACTCTGGGTGTGATGAAATCTGAGAATAATCCGGGCTATTATTTCTACAGAGACTTAAGTGAAACATTTGAACTCCACAGCCCCTTAGTTGATGGCTCTCTGTAAAAGTTCTCCCAATCTGAACTTAAAATGGAAATGTTTTTTTCTGTTGGTTGATCCATTGGCTTGATGCCATGTATGAATGAATCCCAGCTACTCTCTACCATGGAGAGCAATGAGAAAATCTGTTAGTGAAATCAGTGCTGTGGCTCTGAGTCCATAGATAATCTCCAACACCAGACTCTAAAGATACCCATGAAATGGTGCTTCTTTGCTTCTAGGGCTCCTCTTTCCTGAACTATTTTGCTAACATACTTTAACTTGATTCAGAATCCTTTTCTCCTATCCTTGGCACAGTACTGCCTTCCAGTTTCTCTGGTGGTGTCTATTAGTAGTAGTAATCATAGGGATAGTAAGTAGTATTTATTGACGGCTTACTAAATATCTGACATTGTTTTACATATTAAATATTTGTATAATCTCCACAAAAAGTATTTTGAGTAAACTATTACCGTCATTTACAGATGAGGAATTGAAGTATAAACATAGCAACTGTATGAACCTGTATTTAAATCCAGGTAGTCTTGAGTCAAAAGCCCAAGCTCTTAACTCTGTGCCTCATTGACATTCCCCAAAGCAGATTTGCCAATGGTTGCCAAGCTTGTTTTACTGCAAGTCCATAGCATTAGCCAAATCCCTAGCCTACTATGCCTGTGCAGGTGAGGCAGGAGTAGTTTTGAGACCAATTTGACTCCACTCTCATCTACTTCTTTCAATTTAGTAGTTTAAAGAGATGAGTTTAATATCGGATTTTATTTTGCATTAATGAGTTTTTTAGGCTTCCTCAATTTAGTGAAGTCACATAGTACTGTGTGTGTTTGATTCTCAGTTTGGACCCAGAGTAGTTCTTCTTTATCCTTTGAATCATGCCTTCTCAGTGTATACTCCTTTAACCTTTGGTCTGAAGGCCTAACAGTCATGGTGAAAATCTACTCTTCTCAGTTTTTAAGGAATAATTTTAATATAAAGTTCAACTTTCTTTCACAGTTAGGTGTAAAATCTTAGAAAAATATAATCCAAGTCTTTGATTATGTCCAAGAATCCAAGGCCTTGATTGTTGCCTTTGCCTGTCAACATCCCCAACAATAAAACAAAGTAAGTAAACCATCCCTGTCTACCTCCAGAAACACCAGAGTAGTGTAGATCTTTGTGGTAGGTTTCCCTAGAGTTGGCCAAGGGGTTTTACTGATGTATCAAACAGAAAACACCCTTCTTCCTCTCTTCCTCTACCAGGCTGCTGATGCCCATGCCCAGTAACCCTTTGATCACATGCAGCCTCCTGGGAGTGTTATGATGCCCACTTTGGAATATGTTTACTTTAGGGAAATAGCTCTTGGAATTTCCATAAATAAAATTATCTACCATGTTTTACTGGGATAGAGGAAGTCTGAGGTTCAATGGGACTCAAACTTAGGCCTGAGAGCTGGGGAATGGTGGCTATGGGAAGTGGCATTTCAGGTGAGAGTTACAGGAAGAGTAGGAGTCTGTAGGGGTAAAGCCAAGAGAGGAGCCAGGGTAATATGGGAGAAGGAATGCATGGTTTGGGAAAGCCCCATCTCCACTCAAAATCCTAATATGTAAACCCCAAAGAAGAGAATCCGGCTTGGATTCCCTAGCCAAAAGTATTTTCCTGTGGGGGTTTGTCATGTAAAAGCCTTTCTTTTAGAATCTTAGGGCAAGAAGAAACTTTAGGGAATATTCTAAGGCAGTAGTCTATTTCTAGGCTGGATTATGCCTACTCGAAAAGTTATGCATAGTATATAGACTACTTAAAAAGATGTGAATCTCCCTGTTCTTATATCATGTTCAACTGGATGTGTTGTTGTTATACTTTTTAGGTTATTAATCTTTCTGTTGGTGATTACTGTATTGGTATGTATAAACTTCAGCAGCCTGGAAGAGGAAAAGAGAGGGACAAGGGTGTTTTCTGTTTGATGCATCAGTAAAACCCCTGGGCCAATTCTAGGGACACCCACCACAACTTTTCCTTTCTCCTTTCTGCCACTTAACTTTGGGCTACTCAGTCAGGGCTTGTACCAGTGGAGAAAGGAATGAATCAGTTTCACTCTTTAGATAACTGCTTTATGAAATGTTTTGATGAGAAAGTGGGTGAAAATTATTGGATTACTGAATAATGTGAGGATTTCTAAGTCTCTGGATTGCATGAATAACTTTCCTTTGTTGCCAGAAATATTCAGTATTCTATATCTTACTGTTATATTACTAAAGAAGTCATTTAAAGTGATTTCCTTTTATATTGCAATGAGGATTAGGGAGAGCCAGAAAGAACTTTTTAATCATTTAATTTTTCTTTTTGAATTCATGGATTTTGATGACCCTGTTTCCTTGGAATTTAGATTCAAAAAGCAGGTAGAAGAGACCTGGGGTTCTTTGATTAAAACACTGGTATTTTAACTATTTTTACCTCCTTTCACCTTTTTAAAAAACTGTGTTGCTAGTGTTGAAAGCTGAAATACTGTAGTAGTATAGAGACATTTCACATCTACTCAGCTATGCCAGGTGGCAGGTAAGAATAGGGGATACAGTTCTATACTCAGGTTTCCTTTGTGTAGAGGGGGCACCACTGCCCTAGGGCCAAATGAAGCAGGTTGCTTTCATTTTCTTGAGTATTTTGGTATGCTGACACCTAAATATGGATTAATACATAGAGTAGAATGTAGTCTTGGCTAGTAGTGGTAAATATATACACTGGAAATCAATATGTATAGGACCTTGATTCATATATTTATTTTAAATATTTAAGGGAGAATGAGAGAATGAGAAGCCAAAGCTGGTCATATTATAATTTACATATTATTCAAGAAGTTAACATCAGATTAGAGTGTTACAGAAGAAGCCCTTTCAGCTTTCTTCCATTTAATTTGTTCTTTCCCTACCTCTAAAGAAAAATTACCATGAGTGACCTGATAGTTGATCTGATCAAATAGCTCCACAATATCAATAAATAAATATATCCAAGTTGAGAGTTGAGGGTGGTGATGGAGGTAGACTTTTACAGACATACCCAAAATCCCAGCAGAAAGAAAAGTGCTAGGCAGACATTCAAAACATAGGATTTTTTTTGTATGTATTCACATTTATATGAAATTTTATAGGGTCTGCTAAATCAAAGTATACTGATTATAAACATATTCCCTAATTAATTTATTTTTCCAGCATTTTTAAATAAAATTAGGTAAGTAGATTTTATATCTCTGTCTACATATATAAATCTTGATAAACACATATGTGTCATATCTAGTTTTTCTTCCATCTAGCAATAATTTAAATTTTGTTTTTACAGTTAATTTAACCATCAAATTACTATTTCTTAAATAAAAATAACTTTCATTCCTTTGCCAATTAAAAAACCCCAGTATTTTAAAAGCCTATTATATTTAGCCCTGAACATTTCAGAACACTGAAGAAAATTTGTTTCTTTCAATTAATTCATTTCAGTATTACTCCCTTTAAGAAAACCTTTCATTCATTGATGACATGCTATTTGGGGCCACATTTTTCTGAAAAAATAAACAGTAGCTTTTCTAGTAAAAAATACATTTCTGTTTCTAAGGCATTTTTTTTAAAATTCCGGGTATATCAAATATCCACAGAAGGTTGAAAGTGGAGTCTTTGTGTTTCCCATTGGGAAGTTTACTTCCAGGAAAATATTGTCCTGAATACTTTTTCCTTTCTGAAAGTCTGTGCTTTTCTCTCTGAGGGTTATGTGAATTGGTTTATGTAAAATGAGATACGAATCATTACCAAGTCTCAAACCAAAATTTCCCCTGGAGGCTTGAAGAGTTTCAAGGAATAAGTCTGTGGAATAAATTTCTCTCTCTCTCTCTCTCTCTCTCTCGTCTGTCTCTCTCTCCGTAGTGGTGGAGTAGTGAGGTATTTCCTGATATAAACCATACCATGATGGTAAACTTCGGAATTGTTAACACACACACACACACACCCACACACACACACCCCACACAAAACTGAAGTTTACCAAGAAAGTACGCACGATTACCTGCTTTGGAATAAGCTGAGTTCAGTGAAGGAGAAGGCATGCTGCTTCTGGGATGGCAGTAGGGCAGTACTTGTTAAGATAGCATTACTTCTAGCACACAGAACCTGTGCTCTAGGAATATCATGGATATAGTTATGTCTAAAAGTGTTTTGAAAGGGATGGTCACAATCAAGTATTAACCTAAATTCTCTTAGTGAAGAGAGGTTAACAATTGTTTTAGCAACTTTTTAATCATTTCAAGGGATCATTCTTAATGTTAAGGTAAATACAGATTCCGAGAAAGCCTAAATTCCAAGAATACTGAATTTTTGAGAAATTAGCTCAGTATTTTACAAATACCTTAATATAGAGTAACTCCATTTTTTAAGAGGTGTTGGAAAACTATCCTATTAGCCGTCCAGAGTTGGCAGCTTTAAAAGCTTTAAGGACAAATAGTGCTGGGCATGGTGGCACATGCCTGTAGTCCCAGCTACTTCAAGGCTAAAATGAGGAGGATCACTGGAGGCCAGGAGTTCAAGGCTGTAGTGCATCATGATTGTGCCTGTGAATAACTACTGTACTCCAGTCTGGGCAACATAGTGAGACACACTGTCACACACACACCCACACGTACAAACACACACATACAAATAGTATATGTATTTGATGATGTGTTTCTTTAATACAAATATAAATTTCCTAATTTGTTTTTATTATATATCTTTAAACCTTTCATAGTTATTGCAAATGTATGAGGCCATTTCTATTGCCCTTATTGGCTTGTTGCTAGGGAAGTGATATAGCTGGTTGTCATTTTTAACAGCCAACATGAGATCATGTCTGTTTCCATGCCAACAGATCCTCTTGGGAGAGTATTTTCAATAAAAGCCCAGAGGTGGTGACTCCTTTGCAGCTCCAGTGTTGCCAGCGCCTGGTGGAGCTTTGTAAACAGTGCCTGCTAGTGGTTTACAAATATGCAGCTGACAAAAGAGGATCGCTTTCAGGCATTGGTCCTGACTGGGGTAATTCCAGGTACTTGTTCACATTCTCTAACCCTTGAGAGTTTTATATAAAGTAATGCTAAATCAGAGTTTGAAATTAACAGTGTTTTTTTCTTTATGTGACTAGAGAAAAAGCTAAAGACTGAAGTTCATACATGCTATTATCTGCAAAATATTTTTAATTAGTACAGTATTTACCTTTAAGGGACTGAACAAGGACAGCAATCACGAACCTAAAGGTGATAAAACATACTTGGAAATGAAGTTATTTGACTTATATACCTTCACTTTCAAAAGTCCAGAGCAAGAGCATCCAAAAATGTGGTAATATATTTAACTTTTGTTCTCTAATAGAGAGATTTCAACATTTATCCTTGAGCCTACTACAGTTGGGAAGATACCTTTGGTTTCATTTTTATTGTTCAATTTGCCTCTGCTGTTCCCTTCATTACCAAATATGTAGCAGGTAAAGTTTTGTCAAGTTCTATTTGAAAAATGAGTTTCATAAACATTCAGTTAAAATAGTTGTCCAAAAAGCCTGAAAAGCAGTATTGTTTTTAAGCTGTAAAAACACACAGAGTAAAGAAAGTACCTTTTAGCATTTCTCAAGACAACTGTAGTTCTCATTAGAAATAAAGACGAATATATAACTTTAGTTTTAGTATTTGTAAGTTATAGTACTATGCAGGAAAGAAGAAATTAAGCCATGACTTTGAAAAACTAAGTGATAGTCAAAAAGTCAGTGAATAGTTGAATAAACAATGAGGAAAATGGAACCCCTATAGCTTGGATTTTCTTTTCTTGAAAACACCTAGAAATTGATCTATTTAAAAAATCTCAGGGAATATAATAAAAATAACTTTATTACAAATGTTTCCTGTATCAGCAGAGTGGCTCAGAATATTTTTAATAGAAAGTATTAAGAGAAATATTTTACATTTTTGTTTGTCTTGGATTCTGTCATGGTAGTGTTGCAGGACATTTAACCTCTTTTAACTCTTCTATAAATAGAAGCTGGTTGATCACAATAATAGCAGTGGTAAAGGTAACCATTAATATTTTAAAAATTTAAATATCAAAGTTATATTCTACAGTTTTAATGGTTTGAGTGAAGCAAGCTATTGAAATAAAACTTTTAATACTTTCATTAATACTTTTATATGATTTAAAAGAATGATAACCATTTTTTGGACATCATACCATATAAATGAAGAGCTTTCTTGTTAAGGGGTGATACTCTGGGAGCATGGTCAGGAAAGTCTTAAATTTCAGTCTAAGAAGGAATTCACTGAGACTCTTTAATGTAATTCCCACAATCCTAGATTTCATAAACTAATTTCTGTTGATGGACCTTGTAGCTTTTGTGGGTACACAAAGTAGGATGAGTCTTCTTGGTTACATTGGAGGAAAAAGGTATGCTTTACAGGTGCTTCAGACTTTTTTATTTTCTTCTACTGCTGGTGGTCAAAAGAGATTATTTCTGACCATGGAATCTTAACTTCTGGACTTCTGATAAATGGTCAGAATGACCCACTATTGTGATTATATTCATTTTGAGAAGTCAGTAAATACATTTTCATTCCTATCCAAGCTCAGAACCATATGATAGAAAAATACCAGAGTCAGACATACGGTCATCATCTGTTGCTTTGTTACTCTGTAGCACTATTGCTAATAAAAGTTACATTAGGGCACATGGTGTAGATGTGAGCCAAGTGAGTTTTCTAATACTGAATTTTGGAATTCAACTTATCCACCCAGTCAAAGGCAGAGCAGAATCAACACAAACCTTCCACTGTCACTAGCCCATAAAGTCTAGTTCTTTTAGCATTGGCAGGAGAGCAAGAAAAGATGCATCCTTTCTGCAGAAAGGCAGAGCCAGAAAGACAAAGAGGCTGAGCCAAGCATTCCTGTTTCCTTCTTTTAAATCCACAAATCAGATAATTTGGTTCTGGTAAGAGACCAGGAAGTTCACAGTAGTGGAAATTCTTCTACATTGGAACACAAGGAGTGAAGAGAAGTAAACATTTCTCCCTAATGTCTAGCTATTAAAACCGAAGTCAGTGTCACATTAATTTAACAACATGTAAAAAGTGGCCATATTTATTTTCCTCATAGGTAAGAAACGGACTCTTTAGCATTTTACTTAAATGTAGAAGTCATTTAATATCTATTAATAGATTGACACATTTTATTTATGAAGTATACTTGGTAATATAAACATGAATTTATGTTTATAATGTTTATAAATAAATGTAAATGTACCTAATATAAATAACTTATGAAGTATACCTAAATAATTTATGAGGAGATTCATCTTTGGTTAATTTATTTATAAAATTAAAACAGATAGGAAATAGAGCTAACAGCAGACAGGTTTAGGGACCAGGTTTATCTTTACCAAAGATCTACAGGATATTTCTTAAGAGGATTTAAAGAGTATGTGGCATCTATTACATGGAAGAGAGTGGCCTTCAACTTTGCAATCTCAGAAAAAAATAATAATGTGCATACCAAAGGAAGAGACATTTCTGGGTTTCTACCTTTCGTGTACTGAGCTTTCATATAAGCTTATTTCACAAAGGGTTCCATAGCTAAAAAAAAATTTTAAAAAACCACCAAGTTAGCACTTCTGCTTTTGGTAATACAACATTAAATATTTGGGTAAATCCTGCCTCTGATGATAACTAGAAATGCTGTACAAAATATCACATTTGCTTGAAAGTACTTGCTAACCCAGTACCTGTTAGTGAGTATTTGTTAGTGCTGAGCAGTGCTTTTGACAGTCGTGTGGGCCTAAGGGATAAAATAGGAGTTCAGGGCCTGCCAAAAGTGGTGGCTGTTGTCAACACTCTAGATTCCTAGGAGTAACAATGCATGAGAAGGTTTGCAAAGCAAACGTTGACAGAAACAAAAAGGAAATAAATTTACAACCATAGAGGAAGATTTAATAATCATTTCTCAGAAAAAAACTCAGTAAAGATATAAAAATTTTAACAATAAAATTAACAGACTTAACTGTCATATATAGAAGTAAATGTATTAACTTCAGAATTCAGTACACCAGGCACAATGGGAAATTTTGCCAAATCAACCATATAGTGGAATTTAAAAAAAAAAAAAAATTCACAGAATTTCAGATGATTGAAATTATACAGAGGACTTTTTCCGACCAAATGCCTTTAAGCTGGAAAACAACAGAAAAATATAAACAGCAAATCTATGCTTTGGAAAGTCAAAAAATATACTTTTTTTTTTTTTTTTTGAGACAGAGTCTTACTTTGTCTCCCAGGCTGGAGTGCAGTGGTGCGGTCTTGGCTCACTGCAAGCTCCGCCTCCCAGGTTCACGCCATTCTCCTGCCTCAGCCTCCCGAGTAGCTGGGACTGCAGGTGCCCATCACCATGCCCGGCTAATTTTTTTTGTATTTTTAGTAGAGACGGGGTTTCACCGTGTTAGCCAGGATGGTCTTGATCTCCTGACCTCATGATCCACCCATCTCCGCCTCCCAAAGTGCTGGGATTACAGGCATGAGCCACTGCACCCGGCCGAAAAAATAGACTTTTAAATAACCCACGAATCAAATAAGAGATTATAATGGACATAAAAAAATATTTTGAACTGAGCGATAACAAAAATATTAGAAATAAAACTTGTAGAATATGGCTAAATCAGTAATACAGGGATATTTATAGATTTAAATGGATATATTAGGAAAAAGAAAAGGCATTAGGTTTGAAAGAAAGAACTAAACTCAGTAAATGGATATGATTGTATTCATACAAATGTAAATAAATCTATGATAAATTATAAAGTGAATTTAACAATTTTGATGAAATCATATAAATCAAAGTCAATATAAGAAAATCAATTGCACTTTTCTTTATCAACAACAAATATCTGAGATATAAAATTTTAAATATTTTTTCAAAAGTATGAAAGAATATCTAATACTTAGGAATAAATCTAGCAAGAAATGTGTGTGACCTTTATGCAGGAAAATGTGAAAAATGGAAAAGTATGTCTTAGTCATCATTGCATTCAATATTATCGATATGTCAATTTTTCTCGAATAATTTCATACATCTGTAAATTCAATGTAACTCTATAAATCTCAACCAATTTTTATTTTTTATTTTTGGTGGGGAGAAGAATTTGACCAAAGTTTGTTCTGTCACTATACAGAAAAGCAAAGGACCAAGAATAAATAAGACAATCTTGACATAGAGCAGTATAACATCATAGGATTTAGTAACTACAGTGTTTCAAGACTTACAATAAAGCTAAAGTAATTTAAGATAGTATAATATTGGCAAAAGGATGGACAAATAGACCATTGGAACCATTCAGAAAAACCATATACCAACCCAGGCCTACCTGGAGACTTGATTTATGACAAAAGTGGTGTACACCTGATTTATGACAGAGGAAGAGGAAGTTTGTTTAAACAACGGTTCTAGGACAATTGTATTTCCAAATAATAAAAAAGAAACTTAACTTTACCTACACCATAAACGAAAACCATTTCCAGATGAAATTAGTTTGTAGATGTGAAAGGTAAAACTGCATAAAGATTTCAGAAGATAATACAGGGGAATATTTTCATGACCTTGAGGTATGCAAAGATTAATAGAACCAAAAAATTTCATAATAAGTGAAAAGATTATATTAAAATTAAAAACATATGTTCATCAGAAGGCCCCATTAAGAGGTGGAAAAGCAAGCCACAGGATGGAAGTAAGTGTTTGCAACCAATATAGTCTATAAAAAATTCTTACACGATTATATAGAAACTCCTACAAATTTATAAGAAAAAAGCAGACCACACAATAGAAAAATGGGGGAAGATAACTGAAAAACAAGGACCAATAAACATTTGAAAAAGTGTTTAAGCTAATTAATAATCAGGGAAATGCCAAATCTCAAAATCACTGCGTATCCATCACAAGTGTTGATGAGAACATATAGTAATAGGAACTCTCTTACCCTGCTTGTAAAGTGAAAGTTGGTACCTTTTACAAGCAGTTTCTCAT